ACAAAAGAAAGCTGCATTAAGACACCCTTTCTGCCATTAGCACGGTGCATGTGAACTTACGTATGATATACCTCTCTTAAGTGGTTCACTGTTAGTGAAGCAGGAAATGTTAAAAGGATCAATGTGAGCATATACATACCACAGGCTGTTTTGTGATGTCCACCAGGTCCTTAAGATTATAATACTGATGTTTCTCAAAAGCCGAAAACAGCATGTCTAAAACATACTGTTTATCAGCTCGAGCTCGTTTTCCATCTTCTTTCTTTTTCCTTTCATATTCAATCTATGTGCAAAAAGCAAAAGAAATAAAAGTATTAATTCAACATGTTCACTCTGTAACAGGCATTTTCTCATATTTTAAAAAAATATTTTTATTGATTTCAGAGAAGGAAGGAGAGGGGGAGAGAAAGAGAGAGAGAGAAAAACATTAATGATGAGAGAGAATCACTGATCGGCTGTCTCCTGCATGCCACTACTGGGGGTCAAGCCCGCAACCAGGGCACGTGCCCGAACTGGAAATCAAACCTGGGACCCTTCCGTCCAAAGTGGCTAGGGCTTTGCTATAGTATGCTTTTGTTGTGCCTGTGTAGGTAGATTAAATAAACTATAGCACATTCATTACATTAGAATAAAATGCAGTTATAAAAAGAAGTAAAGTTATTTTCATAAAGATGAATGTGTATCCTAGTGTGTGTTTCTTTGTGCCTGTGTAAGTAGAACACAAATACAAACACTAAAAGATTTTTTAATAATTTTTAAAAACCCAGAAAATTATTAAAAAGCAAAAGCAAATAAATCTAAACCTATCAAATTGGCAGTACAACTTTAAAACTGTTGTGACTATATATCTTGGAATGCATTACATGAACAAAAATAACTATTACATTTCAAATTGCATTCAGTACATTTTATATCAGTAGTCATACTGACAACTCTGTATATATGAAAGCTTGAAAATAAAAACCTGAGTTATCAGGTTATTGGTACCAAGTTTTTCACATTAAAAGAGATAGAAATTGAAAATCAAATTATTTAATAAAAACTCTATAATCTCAAATTTAATTGGCAATATCAGTATAAATTCCTCCTTTCCAGAAATGTATATATATTTTTAGCTTTGGCTGCAAAAAAGGTCCAGGAGTAATGAGCATCTCAAATTGCCCTATGATCTCTAAATATCTGCCTACTAAAGGAACCAGGAGCAATAGCTGATTCTATTCTATTCTATTCTGGGTCAAGATATGCATAAGGTGAAATATCTTACTGTGATAGAACAGGAGTCAGAAAATAAAAGACCGGGCCAAATTTGGCCCCTGGCTTATTTTTGTATGGCCCATTTGTACATTTTTAAAGGTCTGGGGAAAAACAGGAAGAATATTTTGTGACATGTGAAAATTTTATAAAATTCAAATTTCGGTGTCCATACAGCTTTTTTAGGAACACAGCCATTCATAGTCATTCATTCATTCTGGCTGTGGCTGCTTCTGTATTACAGCAGCAGGGGTCAGTAGTTGGGACAGAAAACTATAGTCTAAAATAATTTACTACCTGACCTTTTACAGAGTTTGCTGAACCTAACCTAGAAAATATTAAATACTGAAGGATTTAAAAAACATCAGAAACCAACTTAAAAGGGCTCCTTCTCTACCTTAGCTCAAGAGAAAAAAATCTGAACTTCAAAAAGAAAACTGACCCAATGTATTGTAATACATGTACAAAATGATGCCAACTAAAACGCAACAAAAATCTCATTGGTCATCTGTGGAAGCACGATGGCACCAACTTTATTCAATACTAAAAATTGTTCAATAAAGAAAAATAACAAGCATTTATCCTGCCCTTTCCTGTACAAACTACACTTTGGGGTAACCAATGAATGGAAAACTTAAGACAACCACACACATCACATGATGTAATGATGAAAGTACACACCACCACTTTGGAAATATTTTTGCCAAAAAAATTAAACCTAAATCCATTTACCTCTCTAACACTAACCACTAGTTTTCAAGAAATACTGAGGACACAGGAAATGAAATAAAGGACGTAAGAATGTGAACAAACAAAATCAGAATGGAAAAGTTTACAGAACACATGGCCCTGATATCCTCCATAAGTAAATGGGGGGTGGGGTGGGGTAGGAAATGGAGGGAAAAAACAATTAAGAATAAGAAAGACTTAAGACATTAGAAATCAACTATTTATATACCCCAAATATATGTGCATCTTATTTGGGTTTTGATTCAAACCAGACATTAAGTCTTTATCTAACAAAGATACAAACTGAAATATGTACAGATGAAGTGAAATCATGGCTAGGATTTGCTTTAAAATACTCTAGCAAGTAAACCACAAGGTTATGAATATGAGGGAATTCAATATACTGTTGAGGTTATACAAATAGAAAACATCACTGTGATACATTAATACTGTATTACTGTAAGTTTGGCAAGAGTAATATTCTTAAATCCTTTCACTTTCCCCATCCCAAAACAATCTCTCTCAATCACAGAGCTAAAAATTCAGAGAAAAGCATGGTCAAAACAAGAACCTAACTTACTCACCATTATTTTGTTCAACTGTCATTAGATTATGCTTGGCTTTTACTGAGGCCTCAAATGTATCAACATTTTCCCGTTCATACTCTTTAACATCAGCAGCTACCCTTTCCAGAATGTCGTCTGGAGAAGGTGACCGTGTACGAGTACTACTCTGGGGGCTGCTGGGTTCAGATGGCACAGACATATTGCTATCTTCGGCAAGATATTTATATTTCTGTAATAACAATACAGTATATTATTTTCAGAAAATTTGATGCTATCTAAATATATCTGCTAACAGGTGCTGTATTACAAAGCCAATTAATGTTAAAACTTTTAAAAGGTACTGATGCCTTCATTGAATCAGATCCACAATCCCTTATATAATTCCAAAATCCATTAAACTCTAAAATAATTTTTTTAATGTATGGTGCACATTCATTAGGTGGCAAAGCTGATTAAAACAGTAATGACACTATTTATAGTCTTATTTATTTCTCCCAGAGTAAACATAATAAGCCTTACTGCAGAAATATTCATGTATTTGATGATGGAGTGCTGTTCTAGACCCATGGATGGGACTAATGTACATAAATGCACCATATTACCTTTCTAAAATTCAAATATTTCTGAGTTCTGAAGCACATCTGGCCCCAAGGGCTGGAGATAAGGGATTGTGGACCTGGGCAAAACCAAAAAAAAAAAAAAATTCAACCAAGTCTTTAGGAATATCAGTTCAATAACAATAATTTCATCAATGATCCACAAAAGGTACATTTTCTCTGGAATTCTAGTTTTGCCCTACAGCCTCTGGTGATTTAAGTTATTTCCGTCACTCTAACATACCGTTACCTGATTTATGGTTGCCAGGTGTGTGTAGGTGAGCTGCCACGACTGTTCTTTACTTCTGTGTACTGTCCTTATAGTATAAAAAATATCTACTCTCTCTGTCCCGTAATAATAGCAGCAAGGGACTATTTAAACGGGAATTATTGGCGAATGCAGGTGTAAGTTATGTTGTAGCGCAAAATTGTGAAGCCTTCGATCAAAATCAATGTTTCATGACATCTGTCATTTGTTTTGACACATCTTTCTATTTTTAGGTTAATCTAATTATTACTCATTTTAACTATTTTTCTAATTTCATCCACTGATCGAAATCAATTGTTTTATTTCAGTGGAATATCAACCCATTGTAAAAGTAAGATGAAAAAAAGAGAGTTTTCAAGCAAAGATCGAGTTGTGATTGTCCAGTTCTTTTTTTTTTTTTTTTTTTTAAATATATTTTATTGATTTTTTACAGGGAGGAAGGGAGAGAGATAGAGAGTTAGAAACATCGATGAGAGAGAAACATCGATCAGCTGCCTCCTGCACATCCCCCACTGGGGATGTGCCTGCAACCAAGGTACATGCCCCTGACCGGAATCGAACCCGGGACCCTTCAGTCCGCAGGCCGACGCTCTATCCACTGAGCCAAACCGGTTTCGGCGATTGTCCAGTTCTTGATGTATCAAAAGAAAAAGGAAAAGTTGCAGAAAGGTGCAATGACATTAGCTGCAAAACAATTTAAGTGCAACAGAATGACCATATCAAGAATTTGGAAACGTGCTTCTGAAAATAATTGTCAAGGAGAATCTTATGCTAATGTTGATTCTTTGAAAAAACAAAACTGTGGACGTAAATTCAAAGATTACGGAGAAAAACTTGAAAAACTTAGACATATTCCTCTTAGCAGAAGAGGCACCATATTAGCCTTTGATAATATTTCTCCCGAAATACTGGATAATACGTTTCTGTCACTTCAACAAGTTACGGTGGAAGCAATGAAGAACAATGGCTCCAATAATTTTAAGTTCAGGCATATAGAGAAAGCAAAGCAATGCAGTAATGGAATTATTGAAAAATCCAGAAACTATCTGAACACTCAAAATAAAAATTAGGAGTACTATTTTTAATTTATTGTTTAACTTAATCTAGTTTTTTGATAATAAATGTTGTGTTCTGTATTTATTTTCTTTTGCTACTATTATTATGAGACAAATTACATTCGTCAACTGCTACTATTATTATGGGACAGAAGGAGTATCATTTTTCATGTATTTCAGAATTCTTCCTTTCAACTTCTTCACTCACCTTCCCATCATTAGAAGAAAATTCTCCTAATGATGAAGACAGAAGGCACTTTACAGGGACCGATATCCGCAAAGGATCTAGTGGCCATGGCTTTATCTTAGGATGGCCAAGGAAGAGACAATCTTCGAAGGCAGCTCACCTTATCATTAAATTACTATATCAAGGACAATGTATATTACTTTCCACCCATTTTTTAAAAAATATATTTTTATTGATTTCAGAGAGGAAGGGAGAGGGAGAGAGAGAAACATCAATGATGACAGAGAATCATTGACTGACTACCTCCTGCACACCCCCTACTGGGGATTGAGCCCACAACCCGGGCATGTCCTCTTGACCGGCATCGAACCCGGGACCCTTCAGTCTGCAGGCTGACGCTCTATCCACTGAGCTACCAGCTAAGGCTTTACCCATTTTTTAAAATAACCTAGCTTTAACCTAGTCTTAAAATTACTTTTCAGATGTTCCATTTAAATAATCACATTTGGATTAGAAAATCTGTCATTTTATTAAACATTAAAATTTTTTTCCCTTTCAACTAGTAACAGGTATAATTTTTTGCTAAATGAAATTCCTCCAATTTATTTTATATTCATTTATGAGGGTTTTCGTATTCATTACTTTAAAAAGGGGTAACTATTTCAATTTTATTAAGAAACTACCATTTTTTAAGACCTATTGAATTGCTACTATTGTCACTTTTTTAAGTAAAAAACCTTTATTTTACTAAAATATTATTTAAGGAGGATTGATCAAAACTGTAATAAAATCACATACCTGAACAATTGCTTGCCTTTGTATTCTTCTCTGCTCTATTAGGGCCTCTTCATCTTCTTCTTCTACATCAAAGTCTTCGAGGCTTAAAAAAATTACACATATATACATGTCATTACTTTTAAACATCCTTAGAGATTCCAAAACCATAATTTTATGTTTTAAAAATAAAAACTGAGAAATGTAGGTCAGTCATTTGTAAACTTGAGCTAAAGTCTTAAGCTACCTTACTGTCTTTGTTTCTAAACTGTCTCAGTGCCTGGTTTGAAATCCTGGCAAGTAATTTAACCTTCTGTGTCTCCTTTTTCTCATTTGTTTCATGGCACCAAAATTGGGAACAAAAGGAAGATTCTTAAATTTAAAAAATGTCATCACTGGCTCTGCCATGACCTTAGTATTAGTAAAGTCATTTCACCCCTCTATCTTCAGTGTTCACATCTATAAAACAAGAGGGCTAGGACAAATAAATAAATTGGTACCTTTTCTGGGCCATAGAAAGCTATACATCTTTCCCCATCAAAATACACATGCAAACATTCACATACAATCTGAAGGGGAATGTAGCCCTATCTCCAAACAATGACCCTGACCGATCCTGACTACCCACTAAAGAACTCCTACAATCTTTATCATCCCTTCCAGTGCAGCCTTTTCTACCGTCTGTTAAATGTCCACTGCAGAAGCAGCAAACTGGACCCTGAAGGTGTTAAGATCTGTGTATAACACCTTTTTCCAATTCAATTTTCTCATCACCTAGCTCTAATCGGGGTTTCTTGACCTTAGCACTGTTGACATTTTGACAATTCATTATGGGGGCTGTTTTTTGTACTGGAGGATGTTGAAGAGTATCCCTGGCCTCTACCTACTGGATGGCCTAAAATGTTTTCAGACACTGCCAAATGGGGAGGCAAATAATTCAGAAGCAAATTAATGAACTCACTTACAATATTCAGGTAGAAAATAAAGATTAAACAGTGTTTCTCTAAAAAGATAATTATGGGAAAATTCCACTCTTACTTATCTTCAGATGAAGATTCTTGTTCAACTTTCATTCCTTCAGAAAGACTTCCTTTAAATTTATCTTCCTTTACTTTGCTTCTGCTCCTACGTCTACGACCACCCCGTGATCGAGACCGCCTTCTCAAACGTGATCTGCTTCTCCGACCTCTGTCCCTATTTGAGAGAAGATGACATATATATATTTTTTCAAAAGCTCAATTTTCCTGTGAATCTAAAACTGTTCTAAAAATAAAGTATTAAAAAAGTTGATTAGAATTTAAAATAACATAGTATCAGAAAGACTGGAATAATCAGCTTAACTGAAAATAACTGAAACATAGCTGCCCTACTTACTGACTACACCGGAGCACAGAGAACTAACTACAGGGGTGATAGAAATGTTCTATATTTTGCCCTAACTGGTTTGGCTCAGTGGATAGAGCCTCGGCCTGTGGACTCAAGGGTCCCAGGTTCGATTCCAGTCAAGGGCACATGCCCTGGTTGAGAGCTAGAAGTTAGAAGTCAGGGTCGTGCAGGAGGCAGCCAATCAAAATTCTCTCATCATTGATGCTTCTAACTCTCTCTCCCTCTACTTTTCTCTCTGAAATCAATAAAAATATATTTAAAAAAAATGTTTACATCTTGATTATGGTGGTAATACAGCTCTTTGTCAAAACTCATAAACTGTACACCAAAAAGGGTGAATTTTATTTTATGTAAATGATGCTTCAATAACCCTGATTTTTAAAAAGACTGCTGCTGATAAGGTATGGGAAGGATAAATATGATAAAATTCAAAGTTTAATTAATATGGCCCTCAGATATTTTTATAAATACCTAAAGGTAAAATGCCTCATATTAAACAAACAAATTATTATAGTTCAAACATTAAGGGTATAATTTATGTTAGAAAGATGTGGCACTCCAAGCACACAAAGGTGTGAGTCTCTATAAAGGATCAGCAAACTCCTTGTTAATCACATCTAACCACCATGTTTATCTCAAATCTCTTCAGAAACCTCACCAAAAGGGCAGTAAAAGGAACAATTAAAAAGAAAATCTTAAGGCTAAGAAAATGTGAGAGACATGACAGCTGAGATGCCAACAAAATCTTGAAATGTGCAAATCAAAGCGTAGTTACAAAAAAAAAAAGTAGTTACAGATCAGATCTAAATATTAATCCAATAGGAATGGACAAGGTAAAAATGAAACAAGTCAATGTATGCCACAAAACCCCAGAAAGCCTCAAGAATTGGAGTTACTATGTCCTCTGAAGGATAAAACTTGAGATAAAAGATAAAAATAATTGTTTGAAAGCCTTTAGGGACACCTTAATTCTGTCCAGTCCCCTTCCTGACTCAGTAGAAAATGCCATTCCCCATTTCACATTCTGGCATAATACTTAAGACTTTTTTATTATAGAGGTGCTAAGACTTATTTTATAGAGCGGTGCTGGTTGTAAAAACTGGCCCAAGTTACCGGAGAGACACTACTGAAAATAGGATTAAAGGCAAGTTGACATTATGAAGGACCAAAACTTCAGGGTAGCCACATCTATCTTCTGCAGCAGGAGATGAGAGGATTCTGGGAAACACACACACCCAAAAGAAAAGATACATACTTGTTGATATGATCAAGTCCCCACTTCATTACCCTCAAGTGATACCCACTAATCCACAAGTTGCACGTTGTCAAAATGGAAGAAAGCTTCTATTCAGCAGTGCCTAACTTTCAAATCAGAACAGGCAGCAAGGAAAGATCCAGCTATCTGAGCACACTGATTGGTTGCCTCCCTAATGTGCCCCTACCGGGGCTGGGGAACCTGCAACTGAGATATGTGCCCTGGATCAGAAATCAAAATTTCGACCCTTAGGTCCAGAGGACAAGGCTCTAACCCAGTGATGGTGAACCTTTTGAGCTTGGCGTGTCAGGACTTTGAAAAACCCTAACTTAACTCTGGTGCCGTGTCACATATAGAAATTTTCTGATATTTGCAACCATAGTAAAACAAAGACATATTTTTGATATTTATTTTATATATTTAAATGCCATTTAACAAAGAAAAATCAACCAAAAAATGAGTTCGTGTGTCACCTCTGACACGCGTGTCATAGATTCGCCATCACTGCTCTAACCACTGGGCAAAAGGGCCAAGGCCAAAACATGTTTTAATTAACTGTTTATGTTATCGATATGGCTTCCAGCCAAGAGTAGAATATTAGTAGTTAAGTTTTTGGAAAACAGAAATTTATACATGAATTATCTATGCCCCCCCTAACACCCATGTTGTTCAAGAGTCAACTGTATAGGTAAGAGAAGACTATAAAAAAGAAAAAAACTCCACAAAAATTCATTATTATCTTTGACATTAGAGGCCCTATTTCCATAAAACAAAAGTAAAATGTTATATAAAAAAAAGTAAACAGCCAACAAGGTCTTGGTGGGGGGATCAGTAGAAGGGTAAGAAGGCAGAATAAGAAAAATCTAGACTGAAAGTAGAACAAAACAAACAAAAAAAGATGAAAAAAAGAAAAAAAAATTAATGGAATAATACAGAAGGTCCAATGGGGGCTGGAGGAGAGAAAACAATGGGAAATGGGAAAGAAAGCAAACAAAAACAAAAAAGAGAGAAAATTTCCACAAATAGGAAACCATAATCATTCTGCATTAAAGGGCCTATCTAGTGCCCAGAAAAATCAATGGAAAGAAAAAGCCACACACTAAGGCACATTATAGTGAAATTTCAGAACACAGGGCATAGATATATATGATATATATGCCTAAGCGACGGTCCAACCACCTGACCGTTGACCCGAAGCTAAGATGTGCAATGACCACCAGGGGGCAGACTCTTCGACCAGTAGCTGTGACGCACACTGACCACCAGGGGGCAGACGCTCAACACAGGAGCTGCTGAGCTGCAATGATTTGGTTCTTGGGTGACGCACCCAGAACCAAAGAGGAGGGAGGCCCATTCCGGGGTGCGTCACCTGAGAACTGCCCTCTCACAATCTGGGACTCCTCAGGGGATATCAGAGAGCAGGTTCGGGCCCAATCCCTGCAGGCCAGGCTGAGAGACCCCACCAGTGCACAAATCCGAGCACCGGGCCTCTAGTTTTTATATTATAAAAAGTGAGGGAGGGGGGAAGAAAGCAAGTCCTGTAAAAACTAACATCAGAATACGACTTAATAGCAATATTGGAAACTAGAAAACAGCAAGATAACAATTTCAAAATTCTTTTTTTTTTTTAGAGTAATAAAAAACAATATCAAAATTCTAAGAAAAAATGACATCAACCTAGAATTCTATCCCTTGACGTATCAGCAATGAGAATAAAGGACATTTTTTAGAGACATAGACCCCAAAATATAAGTCCTTTCCACATACTTTTCTCAGGAAGCTCCTGGAGATTCATTTCCAAAGCAAAGGGGTAAAACATGAGTAGACACTAGATACAGGAAATGGAATCACAACACAAAAAGAAAAACAAAGGAACACCAAAAGGAGAAGACAAATTCCACAATGATAACTGCATAAGGAGGCCTATCAGCAGTCAGTTTGGAGCCAGAAGGCTAGAAGCATTAGAATGAAGGTCCTCTCCTCCCCCAAGTATTTGCTCAGCAAGAAACAATATGCTTATGATCATAATATTGATTATATCTGGAAGCATACAGAAAGGTGATGAAATCAGGCAGAAGAGAAACATGTGAGATTAAAAACAAACTGTCCAAAGTAGGAAATCGATAGATAATGTGGCAATAACTTAAAAAAATATGAACATACACATGCTTAGACAAAGCATTTCTACTTTAGGAATCTAGGATACAAAATACTCAGAGATATGTAAAGATATATCCAGTAGTTGCAATATAAGCTTCTGGTGCACTACCTCTTTAAATGTTATTCTTGTATTAGTTCAATTAAAAATGTTAAAGATTAAATAGAACCAGAGACATAGAAGCTGGAGAGAGATCTACCAAAGAACTTGCATGCATATATGCTTAACCCATGGATGCAGACAACAGGGTGGTGATGGCTTGGGGTGGGGGTTGAGGGCTGGAGGTGGGCTAGAAAAGGTCAATGGGGGATAAAAGGGGACATATGTAATACTTTCACCAATGAAGATTTTTTTTAAATGTTAAAAGATTGGCAAATGAACAATCATTTATGCTTTAGGTTAAAGTATTTAATGTATATGTGTTATTTTAGATGGATTCCCTGCTTTAAAAGCCAACCTTTTCGATTAAACAACTAACTACTGACTACGTTGCTTCATATAAAATGATTTCTACTATGGTAAATTAAATAGGTTTTTGCCCAAAGAGTCTTTCATGCCTACTGAGGATATCATCTTGAGGCCATGTTCGTAAGGTGATCAAATACAAGTTAACAGAAAAATAAGTACAGAACTGTAAGACAGACAGAAAACTGGGCTACCTATTTATTATCCCATGATTTATCCTGCTAGTTAAAAAAAAAAAACCACACCTAAGCCTACCTCATTTAATATTTATCTCTTTAAAAAAATAGAGAAGCCAAAACCGGTTTGGCTCAGTGGATAGAGCGTCGGCCTGTGGACCGAAAGGTCCCGGGTTCGATTCCGGTCAAGGGCATGTACCTGGGTTGCGGGCACATCCCCAGTAGGAGACGTGCAGGAGGCAGCTGATCGATGTTTCTCTCTCATCGATGTTTATAACTCTCTATCTCTCTCCCTTCCTCTCTGCAAAAAATCAATAAAATATATTTTTTAAAAAAAAGAGAAAAAATGTCCTACTTTTAAAAGATTGAGTTTTTAATGAACAGTGATTTATTTAAAGGAAAACTATATTAAACATTCAGAGCAGCGGTTCTCAACCTGTGGATTGCGATCCCTTTGGGAGTCGAATGACCCTTTCACAAGGGTCACCTAAGACCATGGGAAAACACATATATAATTACATATTGTTTTTTGTGATTAATCACTATGCTTTAATTATGTTCAATTTGTGACAATGAAATTGGGGTCACCACAACATGAGGAACTGTATTAAAGGGTCGCGGCATTAGGAAGGCTAAGAACCACTGATTCAGAGTTTAATGAAACAAAAGGGTAACATCTTTACCTTCTCCGAGGGGACCTGCTTCTTCTTCTAGGAGACCTGCTCCGCCTGAGTGGGGAGCGAGACCTCCTTCTAATGGGAGATCTACTTGCTCTTCTTCGGGTTGGAGACCACCTACTAATCGGGCTGGCATCTTTTGATCTCTCACGTCTACTGAGGATATCGTCACGAGGTCGTGTTCTTAAGGGCACCAAATACAAGTAAATAGGAAAAGGAATTAAGTCAAAATAAATGAACTTCATCTACATGTAATGGACATCTTTAAAAAGGGCACGCTATTACAGTGATTTTTTAAAATCATTTTTTGTACTTTTAGGTATTATTCTAACTTTCTATCATTAATGTTTATATAACTTTTAGAATCATGCAAAAACATTGTGAAAAAAATTCTCTCTTTCCAAAATGTTTATTAGAATGAAGACAACCTTTAAAAATAAATATTCACAGTGCTTGCTTTGGCAACACATACATTAAAACTGGAACGATACAGAAATCAGCATGACCCCTACATAAGGATGACATGCAAATTCATAAAGTGTTCCATATTTTTTAATATAAATAAAAATAAATGCTCATAAACTTAAAAAGAAAAAGAAATGGCATGCTTTATTAAAGATACTAAACAAAAATTAACATGTTTTTCGTAACAAAACTTAAATTCAAATGATTATAATGATATCTGGGTGCTATGATAGGCACACACACAAAAAGACTATTTACTCTGGCCTCAAAATTTGAAGATTAAAGATTATTCTTAAGGTTAAAGCCACTGACTCCAATTCCAGATAAATAATTCAAAACTTCCCCAAGTGAGTGATAATATTCCATTTCCTAAGTTTAAAGACTTTTATTTCTAAATTTTGACATTTTTGCAATTAAGACTCTTATTTTTAATATATCAATTACATATAATAGCATCTTACAATCAACACCAACCTTAGAGCAAAGAAAATATAAAAAGGGCAGTCCATCTAGTCATGGAAGTATATATTGGCATAAATTTCCTATAAGGAAATTCAGCAATAATTTTCTAAAATGTATAAATGTACATAACCATAGACTTTTCAGTTTCATGTCTGTGAATTTATTCTACAAAGAAACCTCACATATAACCCACGGATATCTTTGCATACAATCATGAAAAACTGTACTCAATCTAAATTTTCATTAGTATCAAGTGAAATGCATAAGTAAGTGGAACAACAAATCGATGTTTCTCCCTTTCTCGCTAAAGAAAAAGAAAATCAACCAATTTAAAAAATTAAAAGATCTGTATGTATTAACAGAGAAGTGTTTGATGAAAAAAGCAAATACTGTTAACATGAATAGTATGACTCCATTTTTGTAAGAAAAAACATTAATATAATTGTATGGGCATAGAAAAAGGGCTAGAAAGATTCCTTAGGAGTAGCAATGGAAAAAAAAGAGAGAGGGAAAGAATTTATATGCTTCTACCGTTTTTGAATTTCTCTTTAATTAATATTTCTTCTGTAATTAAAAAAATATTTGTTTTAAAAAATTCAACTCTAGCCCTCACCGGTTTGGCTCAGTGGATAGAGCGTCGGCCTGCGGACTGAAGGGTCCCAGGTTCAATTCCGGTCAAGGGCATGTACGTTGGTTGTGGTCATATCCCCAGTAGGGGGTGTGCAGGAGGCAGCTGATCGATGTTTCTCTCTCATGGATGTTTCTAACTCTCTATCCCTCTCCCTTCCTCTCTGTAAAAAATCAATAAAATATATTTAAAAACAAACAAACACATAAAGTACTTTAGAGTAGTCTAAACAATTCCAGACCCCTCCCTTCCAAAATCCTTTCTGTGTCTTAACTATTTATTACTTCTATAATCCTAGTAAGGATCAATCTATTTTTTCCATTTATAAATTAAGCATGACAGTCACTTCCCTGAGAGAATCACGAGAATTTGAGAAGAACTGGTGGATCGAATGTATTATACAAATATGAATTATTTTCATTATTATTAGTAGTAAAAAATAGTTTCTTATACCATCCTTCCTAAACTTAAGGGGTTGTTGGTTTTTGCAACAGATTATAAATATTAAAATTAACAAAAAAAATTTCCACTTTCAATTTCATTGTGTTTGGGGGCCAAAAGCAATTATAGTTTCAATTAATATTGTTAGAACTCAAAATCATGCCAATTCAAGAGAACAGACAGATCACAAACCTTAAAACTGATACCTCTTTTTTTAACTTTTTAAAGTTGAAAATTTCAGCCTATATTGTCCAATGAAGTAATAATCCCCTCTAGAAAATATACTTCCTCCCCATAAATGGGTATACTGAACTGTCAATTTACTTGGATTTAAAGGAATGAGTCTGCAAGTTAGATACTAAATTAAGAACTTGAAAACATAAAGGTTTCTATCATCAAGTTCAGTATTTGTAAAATGTCCACAACCAAGATACACAATGACAAAAGTACTAATGTAAATACAGTAAACGGAATGGATTATACCTACAACTATAAAACTCATTACTATCTCATCTTTCATTGTCACAAGTTCTAGTTTCTCCTTTAAAATTTGGTGCATTGGTAAAAAACACTAACATTTTGAAAACAAGTTACCTTGGGGAAGAAAGTCGTCTCCTTTCTGGTTCTCTTCGTTTTCTTTCCAAGGATCGGCTCTTAGCTCTTCTACCGGGAGACAGAGTTCGAGAAGGTGACTTGCTCTGCTTAGACCTCCTATCATTTAAAAGTGGAGATCTACTTCTTCTGGATTTATCACGTTGTTTTGGAGACAAACTTCTTCTTTTAGGACTACGACCAGGTCTTCTACTGGGTGATCTATTTTCTTTCCCAGAAGAAGCATCTTTAGAGGGAGATTTAATTGGCTTCTTTTCTTTATCAGTTTCAGACCGTTTTGATTTTCTCTCTTTGGACCGTGACCTTCTGTCCATGAAAATACTTCTTTTGGATGGACGTTTAGACTTTTTCCTCTCCTTTGATTTGCTCCTAGTTGTCTTCTCTTTAACTATTTCAACACCTCCCTTACTTTTCTTTTTATCTGACCTATGTCTAGTCCGTTCTTTGGATCTGCTTTTACTTCGCTTTTTTGTCCTATTTTTATTGTCCATAGGTTCAAGTTTCCCCTTGGTAGTGGAAGATCTAGAACTAGACCTATTTCCATTTCTTGCCTTTTCATGAATTTCCCCCTCTTCTTCAGAGCCAGATTCATAACCTTGTAATATGAGCCCCATCCGTGACTGGACCTTTCCTTCCATGAACTCATTATCAAGTTCAGCTTTAATCAAGGCTCTCTGTTTTTCCAAGTCTTCCAGCAACGCTAAATCATCAAGTTTAGTTCTTTTTGCTGGAGACAAACCTTCTTTGTCAGAAGCATCTATAACTTCTTTTCTTTTGTGTTTCTTATGTTTATGCTTATGTTTATGTTTTTTATCCTTGTCTTCTTCTAAGGAATGTTTATGTTTCTTATGTTTACTTCTGTGTTTATGCTTCTTTTTTTTGTGACGACTGTGCTTATTTTGAGATTGGTCTTCTGACACTTCTCCATTTTCTTCATGTATACTCTTTTCAGAATTATCAGCATCTTCCATCCTATAATGTATCAAACACATTTTAAAAATCATATAATTTATCAAGCATTCATGATCATAACAAAATAATGATAAAACATTTCAATCGAATACACAAAAGAATGCCCCATTTTCTTTTATTAAACACATAGACCTATTTGGGAGACTAATCTCTTTTTCCACTTTAAATTCAGAAGCATATTTAAAAAAAAATCTCTGGGGCCAATATTGAGCATACCCAAAATAGCACTCCATCATGTGCACTGGTGGCTGATGTTGATAGTATAAATACACCTTCGAAGTGTTAAAACTTCATAGTAAACTAACCAGGAGTTACAGACTCTTGACCTGTAGCAGCCACTGACAATCATGTCATTGAGCCATATCAAAGGGTCTTTTGCAGGTCAATAATAGTTCAAATCAATAATAGTTCAAAATCAGCAATTTCACATGGTCTAACCCAATATTTGCTCAGCTAAGTTTCAAATGAAGAGATTATTTTCCAAAAATATGTTCAGTAGCTTTTGTACTTAATTGTTTGAGCTATGCTCAGTTAAAGAATTTATGATTCTAAATTATTTTGCTAAATCCATGCTGTTCAGTATTCCCAGGTAAAACACAGGCTATGACAACAATATTTAAATTTACCCTTTAAAGCAGGGGTCCTCGAACTTTTTAAACAGGAGGCCAGTTCACTGTCCCTCAGACTGTTGGAGGGCCAGACTATAGTTTAAAAAAAAACTATGAACAAATTCCTATGCACACTGCACATTACCTTATTTTGAAGTAAAAAATCAAAACGGGAACAAATATAATATTTGTATTTGCATGTGGCCCGTGGGCCGTAGTTTGAGGACCCCTGCTTTAAAGTCACTCCATACTGTATTATCACATCCTAGAATGAGATCAAAACAAGACTTTAATTTATCTGAATTAATAAACTCATACTATTTTTGGAGGAAAATATTAATAATTTTGTCAAAATCCTTCCAATTATACACTCCTGTACTTTCAGTAAGTTTATCAAATAGCTCCTTGCAAGTTATGAATAAATCTATTCATTCAATCTCTTTTACCATTTTTTAAAGATCACCTATACTGAAATGTAGATATTAAGGTGGGTAGCAGGAAAACAAAGATGTACAAGACCAATACCTGCCTTCCTCAAGAAAATGACAGTCCAGAGGAAAACAAAGTGTAATGATAATTACACAAATAAGAGCATTATGGGATAATGACATGAATAAAGAAACACTAAAGGAAAACCTAAAATCATTTTGAAAATGGTCAAGGGAAGTATCTTGAATTAAATTACAGAAAAAAACCCAAGCTATTTGTTAAGCAGGTACTTTGGGTAGAATAAGAAATGTTTATCGGGAAGGTACATGAGTTGGAAGTAACACTGTAACATTCTCCTAAAGAATGAGTAAAAAATTAACCAGAAGGGGAAAGAGGTACTTTAGGGTGAAAAAAAAAAGTGAAAAGGGGGATAGTTATATATAGCCAACTGTAAGCAGATCAGTGCTGTCAGGGCATCGAACATGTGGAAGTAAATGGTCTAATGAAAGTTAAGATCTCAGTGGACCAATTCCAGATGACAAGATATAGCATGAGATTCTGGGAGGGAGTGGCTGAGATACAGTTACAGGCTCACTGTAATCAAAGGCCTAGGAACTGCAAGGTAAGGTTGTTGGATGGATGGTCTGTAATGACATTGTCATTATGGCAGGGTTGAAGAAGAGTCTGACCTTCCAGCCAAACCTGTGCTCAATAAAGGACACACTGGAGTTTGCTTGAAAAGTTTTCAATTAATAATGAGGGGGGTGCAGAATATGGAGAACATAACTACCACATGGCAAGTACTTTGAATTTTTTAGGTGTCAGATTGCCAATATCCATTTCTGGTACTATAGACTCTGGGAAATAAAAAAAATATTAAAATAAAGCTGCAGAGGAAGCTGTGTCTTCTAGTGACTAGAGTGAGGTTTTAGTTTGAGCTTACTTCTAATAGGGTATGAGAAGATAGAATAAATATAGTAGTGTTCTCTGGATCATCAAATGTTCTCAAAAGACTTGGAAAAAGAAAGTCTATTATCTTTGTATTAAAACAAACAAACATAAAAACATAGCTTGATTGTGGAGGAGGGAAAAATCACAAAACTAGAAAATAGGTAACACCTTTGTATACGGCTACAACCTCCTACAGGCAATCCTTGCCCAGAAATCTTTCAGGCCATAATCCATGTGAGATATATGAACCTTGACTCACAGGGGGGAAAGTCTGAGACAAATTGAATTAGGCTAATTCAAGATATGGGGATAGGTATGGAGAACCTTTTAAAAGGTTGAGAATGATTTTCAGGTAAAACGCTAAGTGCTCAAAGTATAAAATTCAGATCAAGCTACTAGTAACTGAAGACCCTTTAAGTAAAGAAGAATAGTTGGATGGTTAGGCAGTTTCCACAAACTACCTGGATTCAAATCCTGGGTTCAACTTACTAGTTGTGCAGACTTAGGCAAGTTTTAAGATTTCTCTGATCTGTAGGCACCTCATGTATAAAGTGGAAAAATTATAAAAATAATAGAATCTACCCCAAAGCTTGTTGTGAAGACTGCACAGGGCAATAGATGTTAAGGTTTACAACAATGCCTAGCACAAACCAAGTGCCAAAAAAGTAAGCTGTTATTATTGTTCAGATACTGGATAAATAAATGTATTTACTCATCATGACACTGGAGCTGGCAGGACTAATACTAAGAATGTTATTTTAAGGAATACTATCAAACATCATGGATGCTCAAGTCAAACTATCTTATTAAAATGTCATCTCCAACATGGCACACCTAGTATAACCTTAGGCAAGTTACTTCTGTGCCTCAGTTTCCTCAATTGTAAAAACTGGAGAAATAGTATTGACAAATCAGAGATTTGTCTTGGCAATGGTACACACAAAGTACTCAAGAAATATTGTCTCTCCATATGTCTCCAAGACAGGTGAGATATTAAAGTTAAAGGGACTTAAGGAATGTGCTTAAGGTCACACAGCAAGCTAACAAGAAGGCTGGTATTACATTCCAAATTAGTCAAGAGCTCTTCCTTATGATGGATGCTTTTAAAATGAGAGCGTTATCACTACTCTGCATGACACTTGATTGTTGTCTCCTACTCCATTCAGAGTCAAAACTAAAATTCTTTACAAGGCCCAACTTCAATATTTTGAACCTATTACTTCCCTCTCACACTCATCCACTTCAGCTACACTGCTCTCCTTGAACAGGTATATCTCAGGGCCTTGGTACTTGTACTTACTGTTTCTTCTGCCTAGAATGCTTTCTCCAGTTGTATATATCGCTGGTTCTTTTGCCAACCTCAATTCTTTGTGCAAATTATACTTCCTCAGTTAAATTTCCCTGATCAATTCATTTTAATCGCAACACCCACCCTACCACACATATATTGCCTATCTTTGCTTAATTTTTCTCCAAGTTGCCATAACCTAATATAATTCTGTTGGTCTCTTCCTATTATAACACAAACCCTATGAGAGGAAAATTTTAATGTTTAATCCACTGCTCTATCCCTAAGACCTATACTATCTAACTTATAGAAGGTACTCAATAAGTACCTGTTCCATCTATTAAATGATCCTATATAATAAAAAGGTAATATGCAAATCAAACAGTGGAACTACTGGTTGCTATGATGCGCACTAACCACCAGTGGGCAGACACTGAAGGCAGGAGCTGCCCCCTAGTGGTCAGTGCACTTCCACAGGGGGAGCGCTGCTCAGCTAGAAGCTGGGCTCATGGTTGGCGAGTGCAGCAGCGGTGGTGTGAACCTCTCCCGGGTCCCAGACTGCAAGAGGGCACAAGCCAGGCTTAGGGAGAGCCCTCCTACCCCAGTGCACAAATGTCGTGCACTGGGCCTCTAGTTTATATAGAATAACATATAAAACCTATATTCAATACACTACAGATGGTTTATACTGGCTATACCAGTGATGGCAAACCTTTTGAGCTCATAGTGTAAGCATTTTGAAAAACCCTAACTTAACTCTGGTGCCGTGTCACATAGTCACATATAGAAATTTTTTGATATTTGCAACCATAGTAAAACAAAGATTTATATTTTTGATATTTATTTTATATATTTAAATGCCATTTAACAAAGAAAAATCAACCAAAAAAATGAGCTGACCTCTGACATGTGTGTCATAGGTTCGCCATCATGGGCTATACCATACTCTTACCTTTGACAGCAAACACTTTGTTCTTGCTCAGGTATATTTCCAGTGCTTCACAGTACACATACCTATTTCTTGAATGCAGTACCCTAAATGATTTAATCACCTCCCTCACCAAGAAAAACCTGCTCTTTGAACCTTTTACTAAAGCTTTCTGTAATTTACAAGTCTGCCAAGTTTCATTCAAAATTCTTAAGAATTTACCAAAAGCTTTTCTAGCTCCTAATGCTTCTGAGAATCAGGATGTACATCATGATACCCAGTGTTTGAGAGTCATTCCCATGAGTGACACCAGTTTCTATTGTAATTTAATGTTATCTCAAGAAATGATTAGGTTACTGATAAAAATGCTACAAGCATCTCTGGGCCAGCTAGGTTAACCTTAATAATCCTAGAGTTCTCCCACACTGGAATTAGGCATAGAGCAGACATTTACTCTCCTCAGTTGCTCTCTAAGGCAAATTTCATAGAAAATAGTAATTGCAGTCTGACAAGGTAAATTAGGAAAACTTGAACTCAAGTCAATGGCATATTACATATAATGACCTTGTGCTAAGGCAGCTAATTTAGGATCATCATTAACAACTTTCTTCTAAAGCTTTAGGGAAAGGTTTCTTGTAAGGTAATAGTATCATCACAAGAAGAGTGAATACAATAAGTAAAATATTCTGAGAGCTAGAGACCACACTCACATAACTTTTACTACAGTATATTATTATACTAGAGGCCCGGTGCATGAATTCGAGCAATCAGGACTGCTCTGACCTGGCTAGCTGGG